ACCTAAAATGTGATTAATATGTAAACTTAATATGTAATATAAACTTTCCTCTAAAATTGTGTTAATACTATATTCTTAGCAAGTCCTTTCTCTATACCTAGGACATAATACTTGACTCAGTTGTGTCTAAATTATTACAAATTTTGACTTATAATGACGCACAAATGTGATGGAACCCAAAGGTTTGCTTACCTCGAAGTTTAAAATATTTCACATGGTTTGCCACAGCCTCTGTAACAGTTTCATTTGGGCAGATTTTTACTCCATTAGGAAACAATAGAGCTCGCCTTCTTCTAAGTAACCACCGTTTCTCAGCTTCTCTGTGGTCCAGAAGCTGTTTCTTTTCAGCAGGTAGAGAAAAGTCTGTAGGTTCTTTGGGCAGTAAAAAAGAAACTGCCCGCTTTGGTTCTTGGATCTCTCCTGAAGATAAGTAGGTTTGCACTAGAGAGTGAAAGCATAATCAAGCCTTCTGATGAGGAATGAAGGTAAGATACAAAAGGTAACAGAAAAAGACATTTGTACCAGATTTGGATTTTTGAAGTCAATGGCTATCCCGGGACTGAAGTATTCAATCTTTCTCCCACTTAATTCCCCACTCCATTAATTCAAGATTTTTATCAAAGTCAAGTATACATCCAATTTCAACACAGGAAATAAGGGAAAAGATTTGTACCAAGAATTACTAATGAAGAAGAAAACCCCAAATTACTAGAGATAGTTTAAAACAATGTAAATAAATATCGAAGACTAAGAATACTACTTACTCAATTTCTTACAACAATCACAACAAATAATACTGTTTTAAGAACTATACTAGAGATGAATAGAAAGGTAAAAAAATATATTTTAATTACCTGTTAATGATGGAAGGTTTCCTTCTATCAAGACAAATATCAAAATACCCAGAGAAATCTTCCCCCAAAAAGGAAACATAATCTTTTAGACCCAAAACAAGTAAATGAGATGGCAAAATTCTTAATTGAACATCCAAAAACTTGAAGTTTCTAATAACAAATCATTACAGAAAAGGCCTTAACATTTACAAGTTTATGTTTTAGAATGGATAACCACTGCAAAACTATATTAATGTAAATAAAAATGGCATCCCTTCAAAGTGGCTCTCAATTCTTTCTGACATAATCAGCATCCTATGAAAGCAGGAGAGATAAGCTAATTAGAACAGATGGGAAGAGACAATTTCTTTAATCTAGCCAGCTAAGCTCTTTATTAACACTCTCCTTGCCTTTAGCAAGAAGTTCATTTACCAATAATATTTCACACAAATTCTCTGATTTTTCTAACTTTTTATATCTATTAGTGAAATCTGATAGATTCACATGTTCTCTGGGCTCCCCTAGGTCCTAAGCTATATATGCATAATATGTCCAGATGGATTATACCTACCTATATCAATAATACAGAGCCATATACAAAACAAAATTAGTTTCCATAATAAAGCCATCATATTGTAAATTTCCCTGGTAGAACATCTGAAAATCACTGTAGTGGGCAATTATTCTTCTTGATGGCCTAGTTCAAAAAACTAAAAAAAAAAAAAAAAAAAAAAAAATCTGAGAATTGCAGTAATACGGAAACATTTCTGTACTTAGATTGAGGAGACCAGGGCTTTAATCCTGGCTCTACCACTTAATACCTGGTTTTGGTAAATCATCAAAATTCGGTGAGCTGTTTTACTCATTCAAAAAAATTATGATAATCTCTGCCTATAATAAGGGTTTTAAGAATTAAGAAATATAAAAATTATCTGGGAACTAATACATTACGTTCTAGTTGAACTACAAATGTTCATGAAGTATACAGGGATTGCAAGCTTTGAAATTATCTTTTATTCAAGATCTAGAACAGAAAAAAATGTCCCTAACTTATATTCCATGTAGAGAATTTACTTAATATCTTCAAAATCATTTACTGGTCCTACAAAATAGTTCATAAAATTTCAGAAACTTATACCATTAAAAAACCAAAACCATGAAAAATTCAGCTGGGTTCATTTGCTTCTAAATAGGTTCATCATTTTATAAATTTAACTTGACAATTGATGTAATTATAAATTTAACTGCAACACTGTTAGACTTATTATGATATAAAGCATAAAGCCATAAATTTGTCCCGTAACCCAAAAGCAAGATTAACTCCAACTGAAAAAGTATAGATTAGAAAAGATAACATTTAAGATAACTCCAACATAAATGGCATAGTTGGCATTTCAGTGGGTAGAGGTGGTGGTGGTGCTGGTGGTGAATAGGAAAGTTTAAAATTTTTTCCTAAAGAACCCTGGGTTATGGCACACACTTGTAATTCCACACTCTGGGAGGCTGAGGCAAAAAGATTCAAAGTTAAAGCTCAAACCTGAGCAATTTAGCCACTTAGCAAGACCCTGTCTCGAAATAAAAAACAAGGGCTGAGGATGTAGCTGTGTGAAGGACCTAACTTTAACCACTAGCACAGAAAGAGAGAGAGACAGAGACAGAGAGAGAAAGGCAGAGAGAGAGAGAGAGAGAGAGAGTGAGAAAAGGGAGGGTGGGAGGGAAAGAAAAATTCCTGATCATGATCAATAAGGTGTAAAAGTATACTGTTTATGCCAAAAAGTTTAAGATATTTGCTTGAGCAGAACAGAAGCATATGGTAAATAAATTGAAAATGAAAGCTCAAAAAGTTAACTGTTATAGATTATGGAATACCTTGAAAATCTTACCAACATTTTTGGATTTTTACCTATAGATGAAAAAGATTATCTCTGTCATACTTAATTACTTAGAAAAATATTGTTAGTTTTCATTTAAGGGTATTCTTTATAAAAGATATTTCAAAATGTCACATCATGGTCTTGAACCTTGTTATCTGTCAAGAGATGTCCCCACATCATAAGCATATGAGAAACTAAACATAAAATTCTGTTCTTTGAAGAAAACAAATACCAGATTGTTTCATCCATACCCAACTCCAAATCAATTGAGATCATTTATTGAATGCTTACTAGATGCTACTAACATTCCTTGTACTAAGAACAGGAAATGTAATATATTCCATCTTTGAGGAGCTTGTCCCATAAGTCATATACAGAGGGAAATGTGTATACAAATAATGTAATAAAAGTGATTAGAGAATGAATTATTCTGTTTGAACAGGTGTGGGATGATAAAATTTAAGAGTCTGCATTTGAAAAAAAGTTCACAAGCAGTGAGTGGGTGAGGTGGGAAAACAGAATAGCATGAGCAAAGGCCTGCACGTGTGAAGATACATATATGTCACAATACCAACTTCACACAACTATCTATGGTTTAGGGTTTACAATGTAACATTCACACTTATGAGACAACAGTTTATAAGCTGGCTGCTGTTTACTTTGTAGAAGACACCATACTGTTGTAATCATGATAATTTCAAATAAAGCACATCTTCATCTGGAGCTTTCATAGGAATACTGACTGATTTCTCCAGTCCCCAAAGGGTATGCACTCTTTTAACAGAATAGTGCAGGCCAAAGCAGCAGAAGGAGGCCTCATAAACAAAATTATGTCTTTTAATAGGCAATGAGCATAAAGTTCAAATTCCCACAAGACGAAGCTCGGTTACAAGACTACAGAGAGAAGTACTTAAAGCATGAATAAAAATTCCATATAACTAAAAAGTAGAGGTCAATGGAAAAATGAAGATAGAATAGAGCCTGGAATAAAAAAACCAGGATGGGTTCTGTATGACAAATCCAGACCTCTTTTTTCTCCTGGCATAAAAAGAAAAAAGTATCTGATTTTAAGAAATATTAAACTTCTTCAAAGACATTCTCAAATGACTATAACAAAAAAACTTTCTATTTTTACCCTAAGAATTGTAAGTTAAAAATAGTATTATCGGCCACCTCTTTGCTTAGGTCCAACTGGGAGGAGGGTGGTGTAGAAGACCTCCAAGGGTGGTATAGAAGCCAAAGAACTCAGTTAGACTAAGCACCCTCAGGGGTGTTGCAAAGACCTCCACCTAGGACAGTTCCCCGTCCCCAGGCCTCTCCCCTCCTGGCCAGGGTCCTGTGTCCTGGCCTCCTGTATCCTGCCCAATGTCCTGGCCTTCTAGGCCTCCTGAATCCAATATCATGGGGTGAGGTGAGAGCAGGCCCCGCGAGGGTGGTCATGCCAAGGAGCCGCAGTCTCTATCAAGATGATAGAAGTATTGACTCCCAGAACTGCTACACCAGCTGAATACCCTGTTGAAACAGGAGGCTACTTGTCAGTCAAAGGTCTGCTGCTTGAGACTAATTGAATCTGCACGTGATAATGGCCTCAGAATGACTGAAAGACTAAGAGACTTTGAAGTAAAAGATCTTTTTAGTCTCAGTTCTTTGGCTTTGATATGGAGACATTTGCTCTTGCTGTGAATTTACTGGACAGATTACTGTCTAAAATGAAGGTATAGCCCAAGCACCTTGGGTGTGTTGGACTGAGCTGCTTTACTTGGCTGTAAAATCAGTAGAAGAGGAAAGAAATATCCCATGCAACTGTCTTGATCTGAATAAATCAGTATAGGTTCACGGTTTCAGACTTGATAAGAATGGAAAAAATTGTATTGGAGAAGATGTGTTGGAAAGTTAAAGTTACCACTGCCTTTCAATTTCTACAACTCTATTATTCAAGAGAACTTGAAAGGAAAAATAGCTTAAATTTTGAGAGACTAGCTTAGCTTAAGGCATGTCACTGCAGGATCATATTTTCTAAAGGAAAACCCTTTGTGTCGGCCTTATCTATCATTGCATTGGAGATCCAAGCATGGAAATGTGTGAGTTAACAGAAGGAGTAGAATGTCTTCAGAAACATTGCAAGATAAATGGCAGAGATCTGACCTCCTGGCAAGAGCTTGTATCCAAGTGTTTAACTGAATACTCATCAAACAAGTGTTCCAAACCAAATGTTCCAAAGTTGAAGTGGATTGTTTCTGGATGTACTGCCCAGCAACTGAAGCATAATTACTAGAGAACTCACCTCCCAACAATTCCTGAAATGGTTCCTTAATTGGTAAATTTGGTTGTTATTCTCTGGATACAGAAAATTATATAATTTTCTTCTACAATTGAAGTATTCAAATATTATCTTCAAAATAAACCAACTGGACTTGGAATAGCAAAAGGGGGAAAATGACATCACCAATCTAGCCAGCTAACATTTAAAGGCATTTACTGTATATCAGGCACAATACCCTAAGGAAAAGAGTTACCCAATCTTTGATATATATGTTAACTATTTCATTGAATTAGCAGCTTAGAAAAAAAAATCCTCTTCAATAACCTAAATTTTTAAAGTAGCCCTGAAGTAGTGGTTTTTTAATTGCTCATTTTGTTATATGTAGCCCCAAGTTCTAGCTCATTTAAAGTTATAACAGGACCAAAAGTTTGATCTATGTATGAACTAATTGGAGACTGTTAGCTTATAAGCAGAATCATTATGAACTTGAATATTACACCTAAAGAAGAAGTAATACAGAGCAGATGATCTCTGTTGGGTTTCTGAAAATTGCCAGTATGTCTCAACATACTGCTATAGCAACTGGAATAGTATAAATTATATTCATAAAAAATGTAAATTCAGTCACTGCATATATTCTATATGTTCTTGCCATCTAAATTATTTCTTTTCCTACTCAAAACTAAATGTTAACATTTAATATCTACATATGATTATGAAAGTTAGCTATGAAAAATTTACTTTTAACAGCTAGTAATATTTAGACAAACTTTTGGTAGTTGGGGCTCTTTGTTCTTTACCTAAATAGTATTATTGCAGCAACAAAAAAAAAATTCTTTGAAGCTTTTCTCCACAATCCTGAACTATGGATTCCATAATGTTATAATGGATTTAAGTTATGAAGCCTCAAAAACATTACAACTAGATTAGTATGATATTCTCCAACTTGGGAAGACTGCCTAATAAATAAAGTGCTGTAGTAGGACTGTTGAGATTTGAATTCATCTGTAAAGCTAAAGGCATAAATGTGAAACACTTAATACAAGCCTGAAAACATAATCTATGAATCTTCATTTCCAACATTAATCTAACTTTCTATATTGGATAAACATATATTTAAGTGATATTGAAAAGCTAACCTGCTTAATTTAAATTTTAAATTGTGAGGTAAGGTTTACATCAAAACCAACACTTTTACACCATTACAATGGTTTCTTGGCACCCATAATGCAAGTAATAGATAATTCAGAGATCATAATGTTATTGCTATATGGGAATTACATTTAATTTTAAAGACATTTTATACTGAGCCAAAATACAGAATCTAGTAAGTTTGGCATATTCATTGAGCTATGGTTGATATTTCTTCTAAAAAACAGGTGATGTTTGTATCAATAAAAATTTTTATACAGAATCTACTTCCTCAGTCTAGCTTCATTTAAAAAAATGTTCTATTATATTACATAGTAACTCAAAATCAATTATCTCTCTGAAAAATTGCTTCACCCTAGGTTCTGGCTAGATGAAGCATTCCAGGTTTGACTATGGCCTGTTTCTATAAAACTGCCATCACTTCTAGTTGGTTTTCTTAAAGGAATAGAATATACTTTTACAAATTTCCATATTGTGTTTTAAGAAAAGTAGACATCTTCATAATTATGAGATTGTTGATGTAGTGTTTGGAATTCTCCATGTGAGCCAATGAATGTAAGGATATGAACATATATTGTCAGTGTTGTAAACAGTTACTCAGTGCAGCCTGAAGCCTGAGTCTATCCAGAATGGATATAACCAATTTTGACATCATGTTACAAATAAGCACTAAACCCCAACACTTGGGAGGCTGAGGCAGGAGGATCGCCACAAGTTCAAGGCCTGCCTGGGCTAGTGAATTCAAGGCCAGCCTGAACTACATAGTGAGACCCTATCTCCAAAAAAAAAAAAAAAAAAAAAGGGCCGGGGATTTAGCTCAGTGGCTGTCTGCTGCGCAACCTCAATGACCCGAGTTCAATCCCCGGTTCCAAAAAAAAAGAACCACAATACATTACACCTTTAACTTTTTGTAAATCATGTTTTGTGGATAACTTCAATTTTACCAAAAGACTGATATAGTTCAATATTTTGAAAACAGTATTAATTTTGAGTTGGCAGAGGTAATGTAACCAACTACTATTATGTTTGGTACTAAGAGACATACCTTTTAATAAAATTATTGAAATGCAAAAAACATTATCTTCTGTATAAATACTTTTCTGGCCACTATCAACACTTTCTACTTTCTTTCACTAAAACATTCTCCCTCTCCCTTCTCCCCTTTCCTTCTCCATCCTTCTCCTGAGTTCCCCCATGTCCCCAAAGAAACTCTATTCTTACCAGAGAATATTAAAATTGTTTATATGCCCACAAAAGATGTAAGAGCCTATTCTTTGCAGAAAAGAAAGTTCAGGGCCAGGCATTTAGCTCAGTGGTTCTGCCGCTTGCCTCGCAAGCACAAGGTCTTGAGTTCAATCCCCAGTAAAAAAAAAAAAAAAGAAAAGAAAGTTCAGTTGTTGTGTCTAACAAAATGCTGGCTAGCAATAAATGCAGTTAAGTATACCTTATCTGAAATTCTTGAGACCAGAAGTGTTTCAAATTCTGAATGTTAGAATATTTGCAAATATGTAATGATATCTTGGGGATGGGTCCCAAGTCTAAACATAAAAAATTCACTTATGTTTTAAGTATACCTTACACACATATCCTATATGTTTTGACTGTGCCCCATCACATGAGATTAGATGTGGAATTTTTCCACTTGTGGTATCATTTTGCTTCTCAAAAAGTTTCAGATTTTGGAGCATTTTGTATTTTTGAAGCTATTTTCTTATCTGATTGGGAAATTTCCCTGACCCAAAATGATGTCCAAGTTAATTATATACTCATTAAAGAAGGAAGAAAAATTAATTTAAATATCAGTTATATGGTATGCATAGGACATCATAAATTAGAAATTTATTTCTAACAATGGCTCATGTTTCTTTTTCGTCGCTCATGTTTAAGAAAAAAGAATCTACTTCAATATAATGAACTGGAAATATGTTTAATATAAAATGTTATTCTCAAAGCATTATTTCCACATGAATTTAGGAAAATGAATTTAAACAATCTCCAGAACATAATAAAGGACAGTGGTATCTTTGAAAAACATACAAAAAAAAAAAGTTAAGAAATCACAAGATGCTCTACATACTTGCTTCCCCAAAGTAACATGTACAAAAAACTTAATAGTTACCTACAAAAGTCTCCCCATCCCAATGCACAGACAAACTGGGAATGAAATATGCAGTTATAACCACCTTTATATGAAATCCCAAAAACAAAAATATCTGTAATAATATAAAGATGGTGACAAGATTAACAAAAGCTAAAGACACTGAGGCTTAAGTGACAGCCTCAATTCAGATGATTCTGAAATCAAATGTTCAGACATTTAGTTTTCATCTTAAATTGCTTTTGCTTCACTGCTTTACATATGGTTACAATGTAAATCTAAGAGATGTTTAAAACACATTAAAGTAATATTCTTAAAAAATATTATCTGAGAAAATACAATATGATCATGTCTCCCTCAAAATATTCCTGATATCAGAAGGTTCTAAAGTTTTTAATCATATACAATACTATCATGATCACATGAATTCAGTAGAACTGTTACCTGAATATTTAATAAAATATTAAGCGCCATAGGTTTAAGATCCATAGGGGATCACAGGGCTCTAAAAACTACAATTTAAAAATATAAAAGAAATGAGAACAATCTGGCTTTGCAGATGAATACTGGGTAAACTGAGTTATAAAATTATATATTTGGTACTAATAATTAATAAATAGAACTTTGGGAGTATTCTTTTGTTAAAGTTATGAGGACATCTATACTTACAGAAACTGTGTACATATGTTCTGGGATAATGTAGGCGTGAATATTTATACAGCAATACCTCAAATAAACTAAATTTAACTACATATATAATTTTTAAAACTTATTTCAGATAGATAATTTTTGCTCCAAATTTTACCATGAACAAATGAACTAAATTCTCAGATTCCCACATATGACATCAGAAAGAAATGAAAAAAAGAAGTTAAAGCAAAGTAACTTCATTTAGCAGTTGAGAATAAGCTGCACTTTGAAAGTGAATTTTTATCATCTTCCTAAGATTATGAATGCCTTTTTTGTTACACTATACAGAAGGGATGCCGTAAATGGCATTTTCTGAAGCCTTGATACTAAATTTCTTTTTTAAAAATACACAGTATTCATACTGCATGCTTGAGCTGCAAAGAATAGAATTACAATATTGATGTGACTTGTCAATAAACTTGACAAGCACTGGGGCTGGCACCGGGGAGGTCTTAACTCCCATCAACACCCAGTCATGTGGAAGTAAAGATCACATAGTTTTATTATCTACAAAAGCATTCCCACATTACATACGCTATTGCATAATCCAAGCATATTTACTAAGAAAAATATCAAATATTTATGAAATTTTAATTTCTATCTAATAAGTTTTAACTATATCATTCCCATCCCCACTCATCTATGCGAGTCCAACAATTCTAATAACATATCTTATATGTTTTAAATAATATTCAATGTCTTATAAAACTACTGGAAGTCATTTTCTTTTCAGTGAGCTGTCTAACACAAATGCCAGTAAGCGGCTTTCCAGTAATCTCAAAGAACATGTGTGTCATGTTTGTACAGATTAACTAGCTACTGCTGCCCTTCTGTTGCTGTAAATGAAGTTTCAAAATGAGCTCCCGAATATCTTCCCGTTTGGTCTTTATTACATGACGAGGAAACCATTTCTCTAAGTGAATCGGAAGTTCAAAGTTAACAATAGGATCCTAAAAAAAAAAGAAAAAAGAAAAATGCAATCACTTTAACAGTATAATTTCAAATTTTTAAAATTTTATTTATACAAGAAATGAAAAATTGTTAACTTTTTAAAAACAGCTTTACCGAGATTTAATTTTCATGGCATACAATTCTCCAAAAGTATTCAACTGGATTTTAGTTTATTCAGAGTTGTGTAACCATCATCACTATCAATTTTAGAACATTTACATTATATTGCTAACTTGTAAACATCAAAATTATATACTAGTGATAGAGAAACTTTTAGAGACCAAGTACCCAAACTGCAACCCAAAACCCACATATTTATCCCAAAGTGCCAACACTGCCCCTAATGACTTGGCTCGTGTGTCAACAGAGAGGGTTCTGCATGCCCACTGCAATACATGTGCCACAGGTTTGCCACCACTGTAAAGGATAATATTTGTTCTGCTACAGTGCATGTTCAAGTGAGTTATCATAAACAGAATTAGTATATAGAGAATGATTCAGCATAAACCAGAAGTTAGTATGATTTAAACACCATTTTTCCCAGCATGTTAACATTTTAAAAACATTTTTATTAAAGACAAAGCCTTGGTGATAAAGAATTTCAGGAAAAATTTAAAAAACACCTCTGAAAAGTCCCACACAAGGTTCTTTTTTAAGTGTAAGAAATAAACTATGTGTCATGATATGTGCCTGTAATCCCAGCACTCAGGTAGCTGGGACAGGAGGATAGCCAACAGTTCAAGGCTAGCCTGAACTACATAGCAAGATCTTGTCTCAGAAAGGCAAAAAATTAAAATAAAATAAAAGATTCCACACCAAGGTGTAAGAAATAAATATTTAAGTGATCAAGAACTGCTACATTTTCTATTATGTTAAGCTTAACCAAGAAAATACAAGTTGCAAATGTAAAGACATTTCTCTGAGTTTACATTTTTTAAATTTCTAGAGAAATCTATTCTTACAGTATGCTTATAAATGTGATGAAATTATTAGGAGCCAGCTGCAAGGATTTATATCTTGAAGAAGGAATTAAGAGCCCTAGGGTTTAAGGCTCAAATGTACTGACTGTGATTCTAAGAGCAAATGGTCAGTGGAGATTTACTGACTAGTATTTTCATTAGAATTAATAATGCTTCTTATTAGGGTTACAAGATTCATGGGTGTTCAGTGGTCTTCCCCAGGTGTATTTTTTTTTAACTTAAGCCTTACATTAGTGCACAAATTTGAGGAACACAAGATTTAGATTTTTAAGCTTTCTACCCAAGGACTTTTACATGGTATTCATCTTGTAGTTCTAAAATTACAGAACAATGTTAGAATATAATATGTAACAAGGTGTACTGAATATTCTAAATACAAAATCACATCTATTTCAAAAGAGATTTAGAGGCCAGAATCATCACTCTATGATGAAATCTCAGTGTGGAATAAAAGGGGGAAAACCTAATAGATGTTTAATCATTTAATAATAATGAAATGATACTTCAAAAGGAGTGATACTTTGCATATAAGTTTTTGTCTTTAATACTGTCATAACTCCTATGGAGTTTCTATGAGCCAGAAAATAACAACCACGTTTGTCATCGTATTTCCCCAGCTACAGTTCCAAGCTTTTTGAATAAATGAGTCTTCTAGCTTGGGGAAATTTTCTTTAAATATTGTACCTACCCTATTCTCCCTCTCATTTCCTCCAAACCTTTGAAAATCCAACTCCCAAGAAATGTGTCATTACATACTGATAATTGTGAATAATCTTCACATTATCTTCACATACCTTAAAGAAGCTTTCCACATATTGCAGTAAATACACTCCACAATCACTGCTGTTATCCTGTTTAGGAACTTTAGGGCATAGGTCAACCATGTTTGTTTTGCTGAATTCGCGATGAGTTTTTCGCTTAACTTCCCATTCTACCTCTAAATACCTGAAATAATAATTAAAATAACGTGGGCTGGGGATTTAGCTAGGTGGTTCCGCCACCTGCCTCACAAGCTCAAGGTCCCGAGTTCGATCTCCAGTACCAAACAAAACAAAACAAAATAAAATAACTTGAGTAGAAATCTATCACTATACAACACTTTCACAAAGGCAGAAAAACACTGCGAAATGTGTTGTCTCAAACTAAATTTCCAAAGACTGATCTTTAACTGCAAAATATATTCTTATGAGCCTGAATAAACACCATTTTAAAGAAAATAATGCAATCTTCATGCTAATAGGTAGTTTTTCTTCAACAACTCAACTCAAATACATAAAACCATTTATATTATGAACTAACAAATGATCTTAAAAGTTTCATTGTTGCTTTTTTCTAGGCCCTATAGTAAACTATATAACACCCCACACACACATACACACACATTCATACATGTAATATTGTGAATTTAACAATTATTTTTTTCCTCCAGTAATAGCTTTGATAATCACTAATATTTGCAATGCTCTTTTGTAAATCTATGGACTTTGCTCAATTATGAATACAATTTCCAAATTTATTCATTATCTAATCCCTGAGAAATATTAAAACTTAAATATTAACGCATAATAGAATATATTGCCTATTGATTAGATTTGAAGGCTTCATTTAAGTACATATTAAAATACAATTCCTGATATAGTATTTTTAGTAATTCCTAAGGTAGTTTCAAAATTAACTGAGATTTTAAATAACAGAATGATGAGGGCCATGGATTTAGCTCAGTGGTTCCACTGCCTGCCTCGCAAGCACAAGGACCCGAGTTTGATCCTGGTACAAAAAAAAAGAAAAAAAGAATGATGTTAAAACTGTTATCACTTACTCTCGTAAATTCTGAACAGTGTTTTGTACAGAAGCAGCTTTCAAGGAGTCTAGTATGAGAATACAGGGCCTATGAGAAGCCAAGAAAGAAATAAAGATGTACATACTTGTATTAAGTATACTGAAATGCATGAAAAAAACTATTTTCACTATAAAGCACATACTTACCTTTTACACATTTTCTTTGGAACTGGCATACTCATCTCGGTATTCTGAAATTAACATGAATTTTTATAACTTTGCAATTAAAACTAAAATATAATGATATTCAGTTACTCCTTAAAATCTTTCAAACAACTTTAAAATTAAAATTTCAAGAAAAAAAATTAAAATTTCAAGTAAGAGTTTTCTTCATCACCTGAAGTAACCTCACTTCATTTTTCAAAAATTAATTGATTTATTTCCTTATACTGGTAAAATAGTAGTTTATATACTTTTACATTGGTGTCAAGTAGTTATGGAGCCTTAACCTAGCCTAAAAAACCAATCTGGAACTTGACCTCTATCTACTTAACACCTCAAAGAATGATAAACAAGATAATTTAACCTGTCTCTACAAATATTCTCTAATTGAACTTACATCATTAGAGACATATTTCTTCCCTTGGAAGCATATGAAGCAGATTATTAATCTGTATTAAGGGAAAGGGATGGGAAATTGTACTTTTGTTTATGATGCTTCTGTTCATAAATTTAATAAAATGGATCAAACTTAATTAGATTTCTTTAATGCAGACCTTCATAGTACCTTTATTTCTCTAATGTACACAATGAACCTTTAAGTTAAAGCAAGCTAAACAAATATAAGAAAAACTGCTAACTTCTCTTGTTCTCCTTCCCAAAAACTGTCAAAGAATCATAAAGCAGTACAATTTAATGAGTCACTAATACCCACCCCAGTCTGCTTAACTATGACCTTTTTTACATATAATATTATGAGTTTTCCTTCTTTCACATCTGCACAGAATACACTTACTTGAGAATCCTCTGTATTTGAGGATAGTGTTGAAGTAGTATGTAGATCATGGTCTAATAGAAAATAATGAAGCAATTATGAAGTTTTAATGTATGTTTAATACAGATAATTTATATAAGCTTAAATTGTAACTTACATGCAGAACAATGCTTTAAAAATACTGAGCATCTATTTAATTTTTTTCATGATTAATGTTATAAACAGAATTCAATCAATCAATAAAACTGGTGATGGTTTGCTATTATGAGACAACACATAAACCCCAGGGCCAAAATCTGAAATATCAGTTAGCAGGGCCAATTTTTATAAAAAGACAATTTTCAAATGTCTTCTATTTTAACATGAAGATACTCAAATTGCCTAGTAATGGTTCATCTATGACCATATAATTTGCATAAGAACACTTCTGAAACTGAAAAAAATTAGAGAAAATTAAAAATAATCAATTGTTACATCAGCTTTTCTTTCTTCTTCCCTGGGTTTTGGGGAGTATTAATGGAAACAGCTATTAGCAATTGTGCTTCCTACTTAGGCTATAGTTATAAAACACTTTTTATTTTTTTTCTCAAAGCAAGTAGGCTTATTTGCTTACTTAATATTTAGAGTCACAACATAGGAAAAGTCATGAAAGTAAAACAGATCATGTATTATCTCTGAATCATTAGTCTACAAGAAATACCATAAATCATATTTAAAAAAAGAGAGAGATATCAAGCCATGCCTGAAGATCTATGGCATGAATTCTTAATCATGTTAGCAAAGGTACTCTTTAAAAATTCTATAATAAAATGATATCAACAATATAACTTAAGAACAATATTTTATCTATAACTAACACTAGGTATCCTGAAAATTTCAAACTTTTTATTCTTCCTTCTAGTAAGTTTAATAATAAATAACTAGACTAATTTTAACTCCATACACTATTGCGCATAACCATTTTACTTTGTCCTTGTTATTAAAAACACCGTGTGCTGGGGCTGGGGATGTAGCTCAGTGGTTCCACTGCCTGCCTCGCAAGCGCAAGGTCCCGAGTTCGATCCCCTGAACCAAAAAAAAAAAAAAACCACCA